TAGTATTTTACTCACATATGTAGTAGAATCGTTGAGGAATACAAATGCCACATCGAAGCAGGTGTCATAGGAAAACAAATTTCAAACGACGTTTTCAAACTTTCAAAACAGAATCCATTCAATCGATCGAACAACAGATGGCAGAGCAAAACTGAATTAGTCTTCTCCTCAGTATAATAGCTAGGTCAATATGTTATAATGGGTTTCGCGCTTTCCCCAGATGTATGATCATGTAGATGGGAAGTAATCTTCCCAAGGACCACGAAAGAGTAAAGATTCGATGTAAAGATACTGGCCCTGATTTGATGAGTGAACTTACTCAGCAAGACTAATGATCCTTCTTCTGAGTTTCCCCTGCCTTCTATTCTTAATTCTTGTAATCTAAAATTCGTAGCAGCCTAATGACCATCGATCTATCCTTCCTTCGCTAGAGTTTAAACAGCAACTCTCACTAACATAAATCACAGTTATTCCACGGGACCTGGACTTGTGGGACTATTCATCCCAAAGGTATAATTACAGTTTATATGAATATTGGAAGTATATCTAAGAAAATAGATTTGTTTGTAATTGATACTAAATTGCCTTATATTATTTTAGGACTTGAATATTTACATTTATTTAAGCTTGATATTAGTATTCGTAAAATGTGTGTTTTTCAATTTGTAAAAATTTAAGTAACGTCAAATTTGTAAATAAGTGTGTCAGTGAGTTGAGAACATATCATAGGACACATTGTAAAACTCTTGATAATGATCAAATTATGAACTATTCCAATGCTAATAATGAAAATAACATTAACGTTAAGGATAATCAAGATTTAGATCAAGTACCAGACAGCCCTGAAGCTGATCTGAAAAGATTGCTTAACCCAGCCATGGTTGTTGAGGACACATTACCAAAACAAAATAGAGAGCAATGGGAAGATTTAACCCAACTTCTAGACAAATTTCAAGGCATATTCTTACAAAATAAGTATGATGTAGGTTGTATCAATTTGTAACCACAAAGAATTCATTTAATATCAGACCTTCCTATAAGTTTACACCCCTATAGAAACAGTCAACAAGAATCTAAGAAAATACAAACACAGATAGAAGAATTGTTAAAAGCAGGTTTTATTAGACCCTCCCATAGCCCATATGCTGCCCTTGTAACTTTAGCATACAAAACGGATGAAGGGAAAAAATCAAGATTATGCATTGATTATAGAAAATTAAATGAAATTACACGAAAAGATTCCACCCCTGTACCTCTGTGATAGACTTTGTAATTGATAATTTAACTCATTCCAAATTTTTCTCTACACTCGATTTAACAAGTGGATATTGGCACATTAAAATTCATGAAAAAGACGCTGAGAAACTGGCTTTCACAACTAATTTTGAACTCTATGAATGGTTAAGACTTCCATTTGGCTGCAAAAATTCCCAAGCTGTTTTCCAAAGAACTATAAGACAAATTTTACAAAAATATCAGTTAACTTTTGCTTTAAATTATTTTGATGATATTATAATTTTCTCACAATCTTGGGAAGAGCATTTAACTCATTCAGATACAATATTTCAAATTTGTAAAAAAGAAAACATTAAACTTAAAAAATCAAAATGTCAATTTGCACAGGAAAAAATAAAATTTTTAGGATATGGAATAACACACGGTCATTATTCCCCAAGTAATCCAAATATTGAAACAATAAGAAAATTAGCACCACCTAAAGATGTAAGAGAACTCCAAAGATTTCTTGGTTCCTTTAATGTTTATCAAAAATTTATTAAAGATTATGCAAAACTTAGAGTACCATTAAATAAATTACTTAAAAAAGATGCAATTTGGAATTGGTCACATGAATGTCAAGAAGTTTATCAAAAGTTAAAGAATTGTTTAATCTCAAAACCTATACTTAAATTATACAACTTGTGACGGCTCACGCGTCCTTTCTCTAACATAACCTCTGTGTTCTTTGACGGCCAAGATTAATGGCAAATCTTTTCCAACCCAAATCCAAAAAGTGAAACGAAGGTATAGATGCAAATAAGATAGCCTTTAAAAGGACAGAAGTTTTAGTAAGCGGGATGGCAATTTAGAAAAAGCTCTGCTTGTAAAAGGTAGAAGTGTAATTTGACCGCCTACCCAAGAATCAAGGAAATCTCGCCATTACTACAAGGTGCATACTATTGCACTCGTGCCTAACTGAATATCTGAAGTTGATTGGACCGTTGCTTGGAATTCAAGGTAGGAAGATTATTTTCCGAATTCGAAATATTATTAGGATTGAGAGTAGGCGGATAATATAATTATTTAGATAAGTGATCCAATTGCGCGATCTGTGTTAACTACGGCTACGTGCTTTGGTTTATTCTCACTTAATATAAGTTTGTTAAATATATAAGTAATTTAAGTTAAACTCTTAATAAAGTCATATTAAGAATTCTAAAATGTCTCTTCATTTCGAGAATCCCACACCTCTAACTTACGCTGACCCACAACAATATGGTCAACAAAGATCGACCATATCACAAACTCACAATATCCATATCATGTGTTTTGTGACGCAAGCCAGGATTCAATAGGCGTAGTCTTGAAACAACAACACCCAGATGGAACACTTTACCCCATAGGTTATCACTAGAGGCAATTACTTAAACATGAAAAAAATTATACAATTTCAGAAAAAGAGTGTTTAGCAATTATAGATGCCTTAGACAAATTTCACTGTTACCTACATGGATCCAAATTCACAATACATACTGATCATCCTGCTTTGCAATGGCTTAAAAGTGTAAAACATTTAACTGGACGTTTATTTCGGTGGATTTTAAAACTTTCTTAGTATGAATATTCGATAGTTTATATAAAAGGTAAATTAAATGTTGAAGCAGACATGTTGTCGTGGAACCCTGTATGTCATTGTATATCACCCATTTGTCATTTTTGAAATAATGATGAAATTATTAAATATCAAAACTGAGAGAACATTAATGATCCAAAATATACAAAATATAATGATGTATTAACAATTAAGAAAAAGAATTTAATTAAAATTGTAGTACCATTAGCTTTGAGAGAAAAATTAATTACAACTGTACATGAAAAATTTGGTCACTCAGGTGTGAAAAAGATGTTAAAATTAATTTCCCCAATTTACTACTGGAAAGACATTATATTAGATATTTGAAATTTTGTTAAATGTTCTGAAACGTGTCAAATGAATAAAAATTCTACACAAAAAAAGTATGGATTATTAGAAGAAGTTCTTGTAGCAGAAGAACCATTTGAAATGATTTCACTAGACTCTGTAGAAGAATTTAATTATCATAATTCACAAAAAAATACCTGCATATTGTTCTGGACTATGCTACCAGATATGCTTGGACATTTCCATCAAAAAGTGTCACTTCTGAAACTTATACAAATTGCTTAAAACAAATTTTTCCAATTCAATGCCCAAAACAACTGTTAAGTAATAGAGAAATGCTGCATTCACTTCTTCTAAATTTAAGAAATTTTTAAAACATCATAATATTAGACAATTACTAACTTCAGCAAATATACCACAATGCAATAGAAAGAATGAAAGAGTTAATCAGACATTAGTAGCAAAATTAAGATGTAAAGTTAATTCAACCACAAAAATTCCTTGGACAAAATTATTAGAACAATTTATATATGAATACAACTCACCACATGATGTTACTGGCTTTCCACATGCATATTTAATGTTTGGAACTTTGCCATATGACTCACCATTACCTAATTAAGTAAAATGGAACTATCCACCTATACAACAAGCAAGACAAATTGCAGGCAACAGAACAATTAAATATCATAAAATAAATAAGCAAAGGTATGATGAACATTATGTTGATGCAAAATTTAAAATTGGAGATTTAGTCCTATATCAAAATTTCTCATACCCTAATTCAAGTAAACTTCAAAGTCCTTACAGTGGTCCTGTTAAAATTGTCAAAAAACTCTCAAATGTTACTTATGAAATAGATAAACCAAATCAATAAACAGGAAAATTAACAGATATTGTTCATTCTACAAGATTAAAACCTTTTCATTCAAAATCCAATTTCCAATTATGCTAAATTCTGATTTATATTTGTTATAGAGTGTTTTCTCAAACATTGTTTTTTTTGCGGGGGGGGGGCCAGAAGTGCATTGTTATTTAGAAAAAAAAAATAAAAGTTGCTTTTAAAATGTGAGTTTAAGACTTGTTTACATTATGAAAATCAAAATTTAATGTAATTGAGAGAGAATTTGTATTGTATCTTTATTCATAATGAACACATTATTGAAGACTCTTTTTGAAGAAATAACTTAATTATGGACTGTATGAAAACATGGTGATGAGATCAATTTTATGATACATGATGTTATAATAATTTCATTGTGATTATTTGTGATAGAAGTATATTTTGAAAGTTAAAAAATATTATGTGATATTCTGAAGATTTTATTACTGTGTTTTTGAAATAAGTTGGTTGAGTAGTGATTGAAATGATAATAATAAACAAAAGAACCGTGAGATAAACAATAATTGAATGATGAACATTGAACTATGATTTTTCCAAGAAGGGACTGTGAAACATCATGACAAAAAAAAAGGATGCACATTGATTGAACTTTTACCTGTACTTCAGCGTTTCTCAAACTGTGGGGCTCGCCCCCCTTGGGGGTCGTGATAACCTTACAAGGGAGGTGCGAGCATATAGAAAAGTCAAAAAATAAAAGATTTAAAAAATTGCAAATTTACTGAAAGAAAGCAAAAACAAAATACATTATGGCATAATAAAATACTTATTTACATTGATGTTTTTATCCTGGAATACACACAAGTGGAAGAACAGAAACATACACTACAAACAGAAGAATATAGATATTTATTACAAATGATGAGCCCAACATATAAAAGAAGGATGCGCTGCTTTCCTTGGGATGGGAATCCATTGCAGGTGAAAGTCCGACTTCTTTTCCCGAAGAAAATAAATGCATGTCTTACTCGGGATTCGAACCCGAACCCCCTCTGTTATAAGCCGAGGGTCATACCACCATACTGACTGGGAGGCATTTACATTGATATAATGTACTTATAAATGCCTCTGTACGGCATAATGTATTTTACCATTAATTTGTCAATACTAAGTTAAGTACAAGATTAATAATTACTAGTAACTTCCCTGGGCTTGTCATATACAAAATTATACACAAAATTTAATACTTATATTGATAATTTGTACGGTTTATAATTAAAGTCATATTGTAGCTTTAACATGCAGCTTTTAGTTCGTTATGTTTTAAATCAATACATTGTTATTGTATGGAGGGGGCGCGATGAAAATTATGATTGGAAAATTGGGTCGTAAGTATTGAAAGTTTGAGCAGGACTGCTGTACTTGATACATCTAAAATACACTTATTTGTTTGTTTGTTTTTGTATTTTATATTTCTAGTGATATTTTTTGATATAATGTTGATGTTGTGTTTATTTTGGTAAATATATATATATATATATATATATAGTTATATATAATCCTTTCTTTTTGGGGAGCTTCTAGATTCATTTTGTTATTATTTACTCTATATCTATTTTTTCTATGTATTTATTCCAACATTCAGAACCATTTGGAAGTACTTGTAACTTTTCGACATTTATCACTTTTATCAACATTGTTTACTATTGATACACATTTAATGTGAATTTCACTTGATCTTATGTTATGTTGTTTAACACTACTATATTTTTGGATGTCTAATGTGAATTATTTTTATCTTATGTTGTTTTCTCTTAACCTCATTATTATTATAGTCATAGTGAAAGTATGAGATGTGTGATATTTTTCAGAAAACAATTTTATGTAACACCATGCTGTATACAAAATTTTTGATATTTTATTATTCAATATTGCTATTTTTTTTTAACATGTCAGGATTCACCAGCTCACTCTTTTACACAATTATTATATCTTCCAGATTTTTATTTCATTTGGGGAATTTGATATCATTGAAATGTTATTATATTTATCCTCTGGGGACTTGCCAGTCAGGATTTGGCCAACCTGGCTGTGCCAGGCTTCAGCGGAGGGGGGGGGGGAATTGCCAGTTTTGAAAAGTTTAGCTTCAAAATTAAGTAAGTAATAAATGAAAATAGAGCGAACTCTTTACCATCGCGTAAGGATTTGTGAGTAAATAAGACTATTTAAAGGTGGAGCGAGCGCTGATGAAGGATAACGCATACTCGAAAAGGCTTAGCTAGTGACTCCTTGCCAAATTTTTGTCTGTTGTTCTACTCGGTTGCATTCCAAAGGGTCGCCATGTTGGATTTTATGTGATTGAAGCAAAATAAAGAAGTTATTATAGAGATGATGCTCTCCACATTTTACCAGCAGGCCTGGGGCCTGACACACACACACACATATATATATATATATAGCTTTAAATTTATCTATTGTTCCTTTCTTCAGTACCCACATTTAAATAACAACTAGCTACCCACCTAACGGGAATCTTTTAAATTACATCTATTAAAACGCATCCATTTCACCACTTCGTAGTTTGAACACGTCCGAAAGTTGTCCTTGCAAGGATATGTTTAGTTCCTTTAACAGGAAAAATATCTACCAGGTATTCAAGCTTTGCTAGCCATTCATTGTTGGACAAGAATTTTTGCAATTTCAGCTTATTTTTTTCCTGGAAAAATTATTTGTCTTCTTCCCGCAAGACGAATAGTCGGGTCAGTACTTTGCCCCTTGACAGCCATCTCACCTCAGCATGTCGAAGATGAGTATACTATGAACTTCACAAAGTGCCTCAAATATTCGAGTATTGAGTACTTTGTGTCGAATTTCCCTTTTAATTTCAATGGCATTTGATAATATTTCGTGTCGTTCTGTGGGCATTTTTTTCGCTGCAAGTTTTTTTCGATGTATAATGCAGTGTGTAGATAAAATGTCTGAATTACCAGCATTCTTCACCTTTGCAACAATTCCTGGAAGTTGACCAGTCATAATTGCGCCACCCCGTCTGTGCGTACCCCAATATATTTTTTCTGGTCAATTTCATGCTCCCGGAAATAACTATTAAGAGCTTTAAAAACCACAGAGCTGGTTGCTGTACCCGGAAAATTTAGCGAAAAAAGTAGTTCCTCCTATATGACTCTCCTTCCTACTCAAACCTCACAAAACAAAGAAGGAGGGCTTTGTTTTTAATGTCCGTAGACTAGTCTAGTTGTATTAAATAAATTGATGAATTTTTCCCCATTTTTATTATCTGATTTTCAATGTCTTCGGCTTTATCATCGATTCTGTGCTTGATAGTATTAGCAGACATATTAATTACTCTCGATTTCTGAACAGCCTGCATTCCCAAAATCTGTTTGCAGGCAACTACTTACAAGGCTTAATTCTTCCCCAATCGTGTACGCTTTATGCATTTAGTGATTCGATTTGCTATGAGATAGGAAGCCTTTAGTAATGATTTATATTTCATGGTCATTTTTCTTAAAACCGTAACCTGCTTTTGCATATTTTCATGCATTCTTTTAAAATATTATAGCGGTTTTTCCGATTTGAATTCAAGTGTTTTTCAAGTTTGGAAGGTTTTAATGCATCGTTAGATAAACCCTAAGAGCATACAACTCAGAGTGGCCGTTGATCTAGCTCACTGAAAGAATCCAAATTTTAAGTTAGGAATGATATTTTCTTGATACTTTGCGTTTTTTCTGCTCTCCACCTCAGACTATAGAGAGCCTGATTTATTGATCAGTTTACGGTTAGATGAAGTACTATTAATGTTATTATTATCGTTCTCAATACTTTTTCAATTACTAAAGAAAGTAAGAACATTCTTTTGCTTTCTTTATGGGTTTAATTTATTTGAATCTAAAGTAAAAAAGAGAAAAAATTGAAAAGTCAAACTCTAATTTTTTCCCAATAAATATCAAATAAAGGAAAATATGCACATAGTTAAGATTATAGATCATACCTTTTTTAAAAAAACACCAATAAACAAAATAAAATACACACAAAATCTTCCTTGCTAAACCAACTAATATATAGAATACATTTTATTTTGAACTGCCCGTCAGTGTGAAATTTTTTCATCGACAGGATCGACTGCTTCTCCGTCATTTTCTGAGATAACCTTGTTTCCCACTGGTCTCAAATTGCTAAATTGTACTCATATCCCATCCAAAGCCAAGGGAAATTACCTTTATCAACAAACCAAGGTCTTACAGCTCCAGGATGCGGGATCGTTCCGCGAGCTGGGCTTGAGCTCGCTGATGTTTACTTCAGAAACTCTACTGAAGCGATGCACCCCAGATTTGATACAAGAAACGTGCAAGCATCTCGCATTAATAATCGGAATCGGAAAATCATAAGAAAATTTAATGATGTGCATGTGTTTTCCAATTCCTTCTACCACACCATTTTTGAAGACAACTCAAGAGAGTGGTTTTCAACAGAATATCGGGCATCACCGTTATAACCCAACATTCTCAAAAGAGTGCCGACGTGTTGCATTGGCTTGTTAGATCACCAGATCTTTCTCCGATCGAGTATAAAAGGGGCATCATTGGATGGAAATCCCAGTGTCATCCACAACCAGAATTAATTGCCCTTATTTCGACCAGTCACGTCCAATAGACATCTAATTCCATAACACAAACTGATATCAGGTACCTTTACGACACGTTGCTTGCATTCAAAATTTTAGTGGTTACAACGGTTATCAATGTACCATCATTTCACATTTGAAGTGACTGTTTTCACGCTCTCTCACATTTGAAACATTAGACAATTTAATATGTAACCTAGCCGAAGGCATTGCCGAAATTTCGTTAGTCTGAAATAGTTTTTTCTTTGTATTGGGAATTTTTTTCCTGCGTTAGTGTATACATAATTTGGAATGTTTCATTGAGTGCATACCTGCGAAATAAAAATCTAAATAGAGTAATATGTTTTTATCCGGCTTTTGTGCTTTTCAAAAGTTCTGAATTTTCAAGCACACACACACATGAAACATTGAAGTACATATACACTGAAAATGAATTGTAACACAAATTGAATACAAATAGAAAATACGTTACTATTAAGAATTGCTCTTTATATAAGATTTATGGGTATTTTATGTTTTTCAATTAAAATAATATTAGAGCTTACAACAATGCGTGAAAAATTTATGTTTCATATGCCCTCTCTTGTAAACGAGATTATTTTCGGATAATATCAAAGCCTGTAGCAATAAGGAAAAATTCCTTTTAAAATAAAATAAAACTTTGCAAATGGTATGACTTTTACTTATTTTACATACAGCTGGTATGACTGGTTTACTTTTAGTATTCATCCCTATTTAAGAACAAGCTACATTTTGAATTCCTTACAGACCATTCCAGAAGACTGACAGGTAAGACTTTTTCTATTTTCGAAAATTTATGGGGGTAGTTGAGTAATGATTCATTGTACTTGGGGATAGTGTTTCCGATCAGAATAACAGGGCATCATTTTACGAAAAACAACCGATTTAGTCATTGTATATTTCCTTATTCTGAGTGAAATAATGAGAGTTCGCTAAGGTACTCTACCTCATACTCGATATCACGAAGTATCCCTGACTTATTCGCTCACGAGCAAAGGGAAATTCTTGGATTAATTAAATAATCATTGAATGTGTACACAGTAAATCATTACTAATCTTGTGATACCGCCCCCCTTGGGTAATCGTATCTTTGATTGTCAGCGTGAGCTAGAGGTGTAGTTTTGCAAAAGGAATAGACATTTTTAATTCTTAATATGACTTTATTAGGAATGGAACTTAAATGTCTAACAATTTAGGTAATATTATTTTAGCGAGAATCTATAATGAACAAACACACAGTAATAGTTAAACCGAATCGCGTAACTTAGACCACTTTAAATATTTAATCCACCTACTCTCACTTCTAATATTACAAGTCCTAATATCAAATAATCAATCCTACCTTAATCCAAATTTAGATTCAATCTTTTGAAGAAACGTCTGGGAGCGCGTGCAATGGTATATGCACCTTGACTTAATGGCTT